TTTAAATATATCACCCAGATTTATATTTGTGATTCAAATGTTCTTTTTAGCCTTGGTCTTCTCACTTCTGCTGGGCTTTTAGGAAGTACAAACGCTACAACACAGCATTGGCTGGGTACCTGAAATGAGGCCACCATTTATCCAACTCACTTTCTACCCATGTGTCTCCTGAGGCCTTTAGGAGCCAAGAGATGGTCCTTCTAAGATAATGTGAGGAGATCAAGGTGCAAGGAGAAGAGACTCTGTAAGACAATACCATTTATCTTCTGTTTGATTTACACTGCAGTTGTCAGAATGACATGGTCTTGGACATTTGGAAAGTGGCTGTCCAATGTATGACTGAAGTTTGGAATAACCAAAATAAGAACCTGCTGTGGTTTGGACAAGCATCCTTCAAGGGCCCACGTGTTGAAAGATTGGTCTAAAGCCTGTGGTGCTATTGGGTGGCTGGGATCCTTAGGCTCTGGGGCCTAGTGAATGTAATCCAGGGCACTGGAAACATGCACTGGAAGGAGATGGCAGGACCTGGGCCCCTCCTCTTCCCCTCCCTTGCTTTCCTGCTGCTTGGAGGTAACGGTCTTCCACTATCATGGACTCCCACCATGTTGTGCTATCTTGCCTCAGACCAAGATAGCAACTGGACCAACCAACCATGGACAGAAACTTTCAAAACCAAGAACCCAAATAAGCCTTTTCTCTTCTTAAATTGATAATCTCAGGCATTTTATTATAGTATCACAAATCTCACTAACACAAGACCCACATGTAATAATATGTACATATACATAGTGCATCTACCAAACGAATGTAGTGTGTGCGTGTGGTACTGGGGAGAACCCAGGGCCTTGCATATGCCCGGCAAGCACTTTACCTATATCCTGAGCTCTTTTTACACTTTCATTTTGAGACCGGGTCTCACTAAATTGCCCAGGCTATCCTCCAACTTGTGATCCTCCTGCCTGAGACTCTGGAGCAGCTGGGAGTACAGGCATCGGCCAGCATGCCCAGCTCATCTATCAAAATTTGCTCTACATTAGAATCATCTGGGGATTTTTAAAACTCTAAATGCTCAGGTTGTACTTCATAGCTAGGGGTGGGAATCAGAATGTGTGGGGGTACGAGGCATCGATTTTGAAAAGATCCTTAGGCAATTCCAAATTTCAGTAAAGTTTGGGAACTGATGGAAGATAAAATTGCATGTATAAGCAATTTATAGTATATCACTTAAAAGCCTCAACTAAACTTACAGAATTTACTTCTTATAGAGATTTACAATAAAAATGCTTGAACATGGGCTGGGGTTGTGGCTCCATGGCAGAGCACTTGCCTCGCCTGTGTGAGGCACTGGTTTTGATCCTCAGCACCACATAAAAATAAATAAACGAGATGGAGATGTTGTGTCCACCTATAACTAAAAAAAAAAAAAAAATCAAAAAATGCTTGAACATTATCATAATAAATTATTTTTAAAAAATGTAAAACTGTCAGTGAAGTTAAAAATGATTCTGTGATCCGAACACTTGCCAAAATATTAACAATCCATTTCTGTTTAGGGGAGAGAAACATCAGGGACACTGATTCCTAGCTTCAAAAATCTTTTTTGTAAGCACAGAAGCAGACAAAAATGCTGAAGGATGAGGAGAAGAAAGAATATAAACAGAGGAAAAACTAAAATGATTATTTACTAAGAATTGCAAATGCTCATTTGCTGGGTCCACCCCAAAGTTCCATTCTCTGTCCCTGGGACTTTGCTGTCATTCACACAGACATAATGGGGAAGGGCTCAGGCTTGTAGTTTTAGCAAAAATAAACCTGAGGGTTCCTTTCCTCAGACCTCAGTGAAAACCGAGGCTCTGCTGATTTTCATGGGGGTCAGGGGGACAGAGACAGGGGCACCCCACATCTCAGCCTCGAGCCCCCCTGTCGTGACCAGTCCTGGTTGGCAGTGTCCTCCCACTGACCAGCCCTGGTTCAGCAGGTTCTGGGTCCCGGGCACCCAGGCTGCTCCTGGCTGCTGCTGGGGGAACCCTCTAGAGCAACAGGCACACCCCAGACTTGGAGGAATCGCCCTTCCCGTCCCCGGACGGCCTGTTGGGGTCATTGAGTTCCTCGAACAATCCCGTCTCTATGATTTCTTCCTGCCACGCCACGGGGACAGCGCCTGTGGAAAACCTCTGGAAGAACTGCTTGTCTTTGTCGTCGAATTCCACCCCGCGGACCTCGGAGAAGTCGTCGATCTCGTCCACGTCCTTGGCGTAAACCACCGACGGGTCGGGCACGAACGGGGGCTCCACGAGGCCGGCCTCCAGGCGCGGGAAGTTGACCGTCTGGAAGAAAGGGTGCTTCCTAGGGTCGTCCGCCTTCTCCCTGGGGGGGGGGGGACAGCAGACAAGGGACTGAGACCTGGACCCACCAAGGCAGAGCCTGCGGCTGCTTCTCTCCCAATACTGAAAAGGCCACTCCGTGACCTAAAGGATGACCTTGAAAAATAACAACGTAAAATCACCCTGAACTTCACAGTAGGCACAGACAGTAGCCTTCCCATAACTGCACGGGGAGATGTGACTTTTTTTTTTTTTTAAAGAGTTGGGCACTGGGAGTGACTTTAATTGTTGGCATTTCATAGGGCACCAGGAAAATTCAAGTGGCGCTAGGAGCAGTGGCCCACCCTGTCATCTCCCCTGATCAGGGAGGCTGAGGCAGGAGGATCACAAGTTTGGGGCCAAACTTAGGGAGACCTTGTCTCAAAAAAATAAAAGGGCTCAGAGGTAGAATGCCCCCTAAGTTCAATCCCTAATACAACGAAAACTTAAAATATCAATAAGTAAAAATAAAGAGGATGGGGGGGATTGTAGCTCAGTGGTAGAGCCCTTTTGGGTTCAGTCTCCAGTACCTCAAACAAACAGAGCAAAAACAAAATAAAATAAAACCAAAAACAAAATCCCAATCCATGAGCAATTTGCAATACAGCGAATGAGGATACTTTTGGTATTTGAGACTGTAGTTATGACGATGAAACCTTCTTCTCTATGCTAGAACTGGTTCCAATGTTTGCCTTAGAACAAAAGAAAAAGTCTGTGTCGGATGGCATGACCTCTTGTATTAGCTGTGTATCACTGTGAAACAAATTGCCCCCAAATTTAGTGGCTTAAAACAACCAACATTTATTATTTCATGGTTTCTGTGAGTAAAGAATGTGGACATGGCTTAGCTGGGTGTCTCTGGCTCAAGATCTCCTGCAAGGTTGCAAGATGGTGGCCAGGGCTATGGTCTCATGTGAAGGTCCCACTGAAGTTGGGGCATCTGCTTCCAAGGTCACCCCTGTGGTTGTTAGCCAAGACTCTATCTCTCACCACAGCTGCCTGTAACACTGCAGTTGACTGTCTCCGTGGTGGAGGGAAGGAAGGAGAGACAGAGAGACAGACAGGGGGCACCCAAACAGGAGCCGTGGTCTTTGTAACCTAATCTTGGAACAGGCATCTCGACATTTCTACCATATTCTATTTGCTCAGTCTCCTCTCTTGGTGAAGGGATTAGGCAGCAGAGGGGGATCCTTGGGGACAGTCTCAGGGGCTGCCTGCCACACTTCTCTTACTTCCTCTTTAATCCAGGTTATAACAACATAAGAAGAGGACTGTTTATGGCATCGGATTCAGAATAATTTTTTTTCTTTTTCTTTTTATGTGAGTGCATTTCCTGGTCTGATTAAGTAATGATTTCCATTTGGAAGAAGACAATTTCTGTCATAAATCAACCTTAGTAGAAATTACTCACATTCATGGTTTCTCTTTTTACATTTTCCATTCCGGATATTAAAAAAAAGACTTTTTGGGAAAGAACTGAAGGCTTCTCTAGAATCTCCTCGAGACTCCTCCGCCCCTCACCCCCATCAGATCCCAAGGTCCTGCAGACTGCCCAGTGAGATGACTAGAGACAAGACGAGGGGGACCAGCATTACTCCATGAGGTGAAGCTTGTCACTGTCATTATTGCACTTTGTGGGTATACGGGGACTTTGTTTTAACACTTTTATTTTTTAACTTTTTTATTTGCTCTGCACTTATAAAGAACTATGCATGGGAGACTGCCAGAGAATAGGGGGAGTTTTTGAAGAAAAAAATTGCAATCAAATTTTATTGTGGAAAAAAGAAACTCAGTTGGATGCTTTGATGTGCAGCCATTCCTTGGGCTGCTGTTCTGTGACTCTGGACCTCGCTGTATCCAGAGCTCATCGGGACTTCTGGGGTTTTCTCACGGTGTCTGCAGGGCTGCATCAGGAAGCGCTACCAGGTGTCTCTCTTCTCCCACAAGCCACCAAGCCTCCGGCAAGCAAAAGATAGGAAAATGCAGGCTTGCTATCTTCTGGAACTTATTCACCCAGTGTCTGTGTACTTACATTGTGTATAATAAGAGCCCGGAGGGAGAGTTAGGGAGATAAACTGAAACTTCAAAGATAGATTTTAAAAAATCTATGTATTTGTTTCCAGGTGTGGTGGTGCATGCTTGTAATCCCAGCAACTCGGGAGGCTGAGGCAGGAGGATCTCAAATTGGATGCCAATCCACTTTGGCAACTTAGTGAGGCCCTCAACAACACTATCTTAAAATAAAATAAATAAAAAGTTGTTTTATTGAGGTGTAATTTATATAGTAACATTCACCTCTTCATCTATCAGATGGATTTGAAATGTGACAGAAGGATTCAGTTAGACTTCCATCCAAGTAGATCAGGACTGAAGCCAGAACTGCATGTCTCTAAGGGAATTAAAGAGCTGGAACAGGACTAGGTGCCTCCGGGAAGGAGTCTGTACTACCTCCATGACTTCCAGCAGGCATAAACACACTGTCCTTGGGTTCACAATGGCCCTTGGAATTCACTCTAAGCAGCTTTAACGTGGTTAAATGGTGAGTGTCCAGGAGCTTGGAAACCTCCAGGGTTGCAGGCCATGATGAACAGCTCTCAAATAGCATGTCCAGGGAACCAGGTCCAGGTGACCTTGATGTGTCCTTCAGGGATGACTGACCGCAGCCTTTGGACAAGTAATTAGGAAAGACAAGGGAACCACAAGCCACTCTGAGATCACCTGTACATTCTCCTCCCAACTAAATGTCCCTAGAGGCAGGACGCACACCCTGTGCCTTATGCCTTCCTGTGTCGCTGATCCAAGCTTCCTCTCCTCCCTCTGGTGTGGAGGCAGCCACGAAGCTGATCACTTTGGTCTTCTGCATTAGCAACTCTCACCCCTGCACTGTCTTTGGAAATAGCACGAAGGGGCTTTGACCCTAGACTTGCTCCCTGGCAGCTTTGTGAGGTGCTGTTAGGCTCATCACCTTGCAGGGCGCTTTGGACAAACAGAAGAGGCTGCCGAGGGAGGCAGCATTTTTTGGTAAAGTCCAAACAGGCAGGTGCAGGAAAAACTTGTTGTTGGATTGGAATATATTCCAGAGCATTAACAGAGGCTCTTGTGTGGCTGCACCCCACACAGAGATTACAATGGACTCTTAGAACCCTCAAGGGAGCAGAGATTCACTTGCCCGTACACGAGGACCACACCGTGGGATTTGGCCTGCCGACCTGCCAAGACGGGCCTGCCGGCATGGAATTCTGCGGTAAAGAAGCGCTGAAGCCACCGGCTTGCATGGTTATTTGCTCTTGTTCTGCTGCACTGATGGATCAGAACAAAACCTACAAAAAAATCTCAAGTGGTCTTCACCTTTTACTTTATCACAAAACCTCACCGTCGACTCTGTCTTGGAGACCCTGTGAAGGCCTGGGAAAGCTTTTGACTTCTTTGTCAAATTAACTCCCAGACTTGTCAAGGCAAAGAAGGAAATCCTCTTTGGGGAGGCTAAAGAAGGAGAGAGGCTTAATGTATTTTGAATGCTTGGGAAGGCAGGTGGGAGGGGTCCTGGGCCTTTCCACTGGGTAACTCTCTGTCTGGGCCTTTGCCCCGGCTGGAGAGGACAACGCTACCTAGAGCAAACATGATCTCCTTTGAATGAACCTCTTAAAAATACAAAAAGTTGGCATGAAAATGTGGGAAGCCTTTCTCTTTCACCGAACAGATGTTTCTGACATGCCCCTTCTCTAGTGTCGTCAACAGTTTTAATCAAAACACTCGAGACAGCAGACTCTTTGGAGAAGGGCTTTTGCTTAACGAAGCAGCTTCCAGCAATGATCCAGTAGGTGAAGGTGGCATCTTCCGGGAAAAGCTTGCCGACATTTCATTTTATAAAACTGAAGTGGGCTCAGAAACGGGTGGTAGCCCTTCAACGAAGTCATCTGGAGAAATTGTGGGTCTCCCCACCCTCTGCCTTCTGACTTGTCCTTGCTTGTGTGCCCTCTGGGACTCCCTGACCTTGAGAGTCAGCACAGCCACTGACTACCAGTGATGGCCAGTGGTCACCATATTTGGATCACCTCTCCTTTCTGGGCACAAAGAGGATAACACCAGCCAGCTCCCTCACCCTTCCGTAGGACCTGTGGACAGGTTCCGGGGGACAGAAGTGGTGTGTGAAGCGTGTCACTTCCCAGCGGAGGCTGAAATAGCTCTATGAGTTCTCTGCTTTTTGTTCAGCCACTGGGACTGGAAGGACAACTTCCACTGGAGCTGAAGATGGAAGCAGCCTGGATCTCTGAGTCACTGCTTGGAAGAGAGACATCCTGGAGAGCAGTGGGCTATGTATGGGGCTGCGTGGGAATGAAAATCATCTTTTTCATTGGAAGCTGTTGAGACTTTGGGATTTGCTTGTTATCATAACATGGCTTATGCTTACCTAATACAACCCTGGAACCTACATAGGAAAATCAACTCAACATTTTATTTCCACATGATGTAGAATCTATCTAACTTCAAAATACTAGTAACTTTGATCATAGGTCATGCTTTAAAAGTTACTGCAAATTAGGGCTGGGGTTGTGGCTCAGCCGTAGAGCGCTTGCCTAGCATGTTCGAGGGCCTTGGGTTCAATCCTCAGCACCACATAAAAATACATGAATGGCATAAAGGTATTATGTCCAACTACAACTAAAAAAATTAATGATTTTTTAAAAAGTTACTGCGAATTAATTTTAAGAATCAAGTAATATTTCTTGTTGATAAAATTTACAAGTTTTTTTTGATTGTTCAAAATACTCATTTTTGTACAATACGGTAAAACAACTTTAAACAAGAATCAAAGATAAGGACTCTTCCCCTTTGTATTAGTATATTATATTGTTTGGCTATTTTTCAAAAGTCAGGTTGGGGCTGCGGGTATAGCTCAGTGGTAGAGCACGAACATTTGTGAGGCTCTGGGTTTCATCTCCAGCCCTGAAAAAATAAAATAAAATTCAAATACAGGTCAAAAATTAAATGCTTGCCTCTATGTTCAAATATTCTGACCAAAGGCAACCTTGTTTTAGAGACTCCACCAGCAACCACTTGGAGGAGTTAGAATTTGGCTGCTGAGTTCCCATGTGTTTTCATCACTGTGTCCAAATGCCTGACAATAACAACTTAAAGTGGAAAGGTTGACTTTGGCTGGTCACTTCCCAGTTTTCAGTCCATGGTTAGATGGCTCCTTTGCTTTGGGCCTGAGGGGTAGCTGGACATCTTGGCAAAGGGCACAGAGGAAGAAAGCTGTTCAGTTCCTGCAGCCAGGAGCAAAAAGAGAGGCAGAGACAGAGAGAGAGACAGTTGGAAAGGGGCCAGGGACAAGATATAGTCCCTGAGAGCATGCCTCCAGTGACCTACTGTCTCCAACTATGCCCCACCTGCATACAGTTTCTGTCATATCCCAGAAGTCCATCCAATTTATTAATCCATCAAATGAATCAATCCACTGGTGAGATCAAAACCCTCATGATACAATCACTTCCAAGAAGCCCTACCTCGGAATATACTGGGGACCAAGCCTTCAACACTTGACCTTTTAGGGGACATTCAGATCCAAACCATAACATGGTACTATATTGAAATCAGTCATACTACCGTGTGTTTGTAGGTTTCCGTGTGTGTGTGTGTGTGTGTGTGTGTGTGTGTGTGTGTGTGTGTGTGTTTGTCTGGGGATCAAACCCAGGGCCTTGTGCATTCTAGGTAAATACTCTACACTGATCTATACCCCAAGCCCAGATGTTTGTATAATTCTTAGATCTTAAAAATTCCATTAAAGTAATATAAGAGATTCAAAATATCATCTAATATTTCTCTTAGAACAATTGAGTAATGATCAATCATAATCGCTCTCACTTGTTGAGTAATTCTGAACACCCTTCCCATCGGAAACCCAGAGCTCTGTGAAAAGACAGGGCCAACAGGAGGCAGAGGGGCCAGAAGGTGCCACTGTCCCAATTATCTGGAGCTGAAAGGGTTTGAGAGTCAAGAGATGCAGGTTCTGAATCCTCCCATCTGTTTACAAGCAGAGCCTTCCAAAATAATGCCACTGTCCCAAACCCCCTCCTCCAGAGTTTTCCAAACAGGAAAGATTGACTAATCGCAGGCAACAGAGGAGACAGGGCCCTACCTAAACAGAAATGGTCACAAACTATCATGTCTCCTGTGTAGCCTTCCAAGGGCCATCCGTCTTCCCTAAAAGTCACTGGTTTTCCCTGTTTCTCCCTTTCTCCTTCTTCTATTAAGATGGTATATATACTTTAAATTCTAATGATCTCTTAGTCACATTTTTTTTTAAGTGTAAACTCCTGAATGAACAAAAATCTGTCTTTTTCCTTGATAATCTGTGTTTTGCTGATTTCATTTGTGGGTCCCCAAGCACTAAACCTAAGAAGGTAGAGGAAGTGTTTCCTTCCTGACTCTGTGTGTGTGTGTGTGTGTGTGTGTGTGTGTGTGTGTGTGTG